TGAACTCACAGAGATCCGCCTGCCTCTGCCTCCCAAGTGCTGGAATTAAAGGCGTGCACCATCACACCCGGCGTTGTTGCTTTTGTAAGACACAGGGTCTTGCTGTGGCTGGAGTACACTGGAGTATTCATAGGCCTGATTATATTATCAGCTTGTCACCATGGTGACCCCTTGCTATTGAGAAATTTCAGATCGGCTACGTATACTAGGGACCCAGATCAGCACGCATTAGTTGTGATTACAGTCACCAACTACCATGCTTGGCTCCAAAATTTATTTTAAAATACTGAGAAATACAGCTACAAGTTATTAACCAGTGGCTGTGCTAACATGTGCAGGACTAGAAGATCTTGAGATACAAAGAAAGGTCAGAGTGTGCCGTAAAGATGCAAAGTTCTTTTATAATTAAGTCACAGAGCCCTGACAACCCCTTGCAGAGGTGACAGTATGAGTTACATTCTGTCCTGGTTGCACCAACGCAGAAGTACAAAGTTGCTCATAGGGCGTCAGCCAAGAGGAAGGAAAACAGAAGTTAGGGCTCCAAGGAGACTTGAAATTGCTTCCTTGTTTTTTGATTTTTCAAAAATTTCCATTTCTAAGCATAATTGACACAACTTGAACCCCGCTGCTTGCTTTGATTAAATGAGAAAAGATTAATATCTGCCCTGTGCACCCCATGGAATACTTCCTGGGGTATCCCGCATTCTGCTAACTAGTGATTCAGTAACTCAATTAAAAATCAGAATTATAACTATGTGGAATGAAGTCTCCAAAGGTCTGAGATTTAGATTTTGCGTAGCAAAGTAAAAGCTAGTAAAATGAAACCAGAATGATAAAATAATGTTAATTTTTTGACAATGTTTATTCATTTTTATTATTTTGTTTTTAATTTTATGTGTATGAGTATATTTCTTGCATGTGTGTAAGTGCACCCATGTCAGCAATGCCCACAGAGGAGAATAGAAGAAGGCATTGGATCCTCTGGAACTGGAGTTATGGATGGTTGTTAGTTATTATGTGGGTGCTGGGATTCAAACCCAGGTCCTCTGCAAGAGCAGCCAGTGCTCCTAATTGCTGAGCCATCTTCTCCAGCGCCAACAATGTTAATTTTTAAAGTCTGACTAGTTTGTGATAATAGTATCTCTACTTTTGTGACTACCTGAACATTTTCAATACGAGATTAAAACCAGTAGTTATGTTGAAGGTAATTTTATATTTTGAATTTTTACTAAATTATTTTTTTCTTTTAAAAAATTAATGTTTTGTGCCGGGCATGGTGGCGCATGCCTTTAATCCCAGCACTCGGGAGGCAGAGGCAGGCATATTGGTGTGAGTTCAAGGCCAGCCTGGTCTATATAGTGAGTTCAGGCCAGCTGGGACTACAAGGAGACCCTGTCTCAAAAAGACAAAAAAGAAACATTTGTAAACAGCAAAAACCTGAAAAGTTGCAATAAAGTGTTTAAGTCTTAAAAAAAAATTAATGTTTTAAGTCAGCCTACAGGGTAATGGATTTCATTATGGCATTTCTTTTTATTTTTTTAAAATTTATTTTTATTATCCAGGCATGGTGGCACACGGCTTTAATCCCAGCACTCGGGAGGCAGAGGCAGACGGGTCTCTGTGAGTTCAAGGCCAGCCTGGTCTATATAGTGAGTTCCAGGCCAGCTGGGGCTACAGGGAGACCCTGTCTCAAAAAGACCCCCCCCAAAATTTTATTTTTATTTTATGTATATAAGTGTATTGCTTGCATGTGTGTAAGTGCATCTGTGTCATTCAATGCCTGCAGAGGCCAGAAGTGGAGGTTGGATCTCCTGAACTGGAGTTATGGATGGTTGTTAGCTATTGTGTGGGTGCTGGGATATGAACTCAGGTCTTCTACAAGAGTAGCCGGTGCTCTTAACTGCTGAGCCATTTCTCCAGCCCCTGTGCTCTTTTTTTGTAAAGGACTTATTTTCATTATTTTTAATTATGTGCACATGAGTGCAGGTGTCCTCAGAGTTCAGAAGAGGGTGTTGGATCCCCTCAAGCTAGAGTCACAGCTGGTTGTGAGCTACCACGTGGGTGCTGAGAATTTTAAGTCCTCTACAAGAGCAGTACCTGCTCTTAACCATTGAGCCATCTTGCCAGCCCATCGTTATGGCATTTTCAACATACTTTGCTCTTATTCATCGCCCTCCCCACTGCCCTCCCCTCACTCCCTGCCACCTTGTTAGACGTCTTCTCGCTGGTCCCCTTCCTCCATCCTAAAACCTTCCTGCTTTCACATGCCCCTAACCTTTCTTCACCCTTCTTTTCCCTAAGATTTCTTCCCACCCTCTCATGATCCTATTTCTTGTGTTCTCTCCCTCTCCCCCTGCCACCCCCCTCTCTCTCGTTCACTTTCCTGGAAGGGGAGATACCAGGATCAGGAAGGTGGTTTTCCCCAGTCTGGTCTCTCACACTCGAGATCTGTTGATCCTCGTGATTTCCCCCAAAGCAAGAAGCTCGACTTTATAGTTTTTGCTAATGGGGGAATGCTGGCTCATACTCTCCCCTATAAAAATAAATAAATAAAGCACACCTAGGTTCTGCTTATAGACCAGGCTGGCTATATGAAAAGAACTGGCACTTACATCCTTCTCCTGAACAAAGCGAAAACATCTACCTTACTATGTTGGATTTTCCACAGTGGTTATCTACACTTCCAAATTCAGAGAACATAATTTGGAATCAGTTGAGATGGACACAGCACGAGGTATTCAAATCTCATTCGAATCATAGCCTCATCCTGGATCCTGACTTCCTCCCTCAGCCCTTGTCTCACCCACCCTCACCATTGACTTCTCACCAAGGATCTCACTCCACAGAGATGTTTCTGCCTCTGAGCTCCCATGTCAGTTGCCCCTCATTCCCTACTCTGCCCGGTTATTATATTTTAAATACACAAAATGAAAATGGCTCTTTGAGAGCAGTGACTGTGTTTTACATCCCTCTGGACTCTTGAAAGGAGTTAATTATCCTGTCTTATAAATAGATTGAGCATTAGCCTGCTATGCTCATTCGATCAGGACACACAAGTTCCTCCCCTCCCGTTCCTTGGCTCTCTTTAGCTTAGCAACAGTCATGGACAATTGAACTTGAATCTTGGGCTGTTACCGCTGTGCCTGGCAACCAGGTCAAAACAACCTCTGAAGATACACCTTTTGATATGCTAATGAACGAGGTGAAGGCGGCAGCCCTTATGAACTGCAATCCTATGTCAGTATTAGGGGCTGGATGGGTAGCTGCGGCTGTATGCTGCCTACAGGTCACTTGTGGCTTCCGTGACCAGACATGCTGCTTCAGCCACACCTCTGACTTTTAAAACAAGCAAGTTGGAGGGTCACCAAAAGCATGTGAAATTCAAGAGGCACACAGAAGCCGGGGCTTACGATTCTTAATCTTCAGTCATTTTCCCCAAGAAATGAAACATTAAGAGTTTAAGCTTTCCAGTGCATTTTCCCTGCTTCTTCCCTAGGAAAACCATAACCCTAGAGTTGTTATGAATACTCCTTTCATAAATATTTTATATGTTTTCTTGCCATATACACATATATGTATTAGCTCGGTGTAGTATTCTGAACCTTTATAATGTCACACAAATATTATGTTGTACATAGTGTTCTGCAAACTTCTTTAAAAAAGATTTATTCATTTTGTGTTTTGCCTACATGTGTGTATTTGTGCCATGTGTGTGCCTAGTGCATGCAGAGGTCAGAAGAGGGTGCCAGATCCTCTGAAACCAGAGTTATGAACAGTTGTTAGCTGCCATGTGGATTCTGGAAACTGAATCTAGGTCCTCTGCAAGAGCAACCAGTGCTCTTAACCGCTGAGCCATCTCGCTGGCCCCTGCAAACTACTTTATTAAAATTTAAATTCCATTAAAAATTAAATGAGCTCAAAAAATTTTTTAAATGAGCTCAAAAAAATTTTTTTAATTAAATGAGCTCACAATTTTTTAATTTTAATCTAATTTATGTTATTCATTTGATCTTTTTTTTTTTTTGGTCTTTTTGAGACAGGGTCTCCCCCAGCTGTCCTGGAACTTACTATGTAGACCAGGCTGGCCTTGAAGTCACAGAAGTCCGCCTGACTCTGCCTCTGGAGTGCTGGGATTAAAGGCATGCACCACCACGCCTGGCCTTGATCATTTATTTTTGAAATATGGTCTTGCTATGTAGCTCTGACTGACCTGAAACTCACTATGTAGCCCAGGCTTGTCTAAAACTCATAGCAATCCTTGTGTCTCAGCCTCCCAAGTGCTGGGATCACAGGACATGCCACCATGCTTGGCTCCTTCTACGTTTATTCATTGAAGTTCTACAGTAAAAAAGAGCTTTCCCCTCTCCACCTGTGATAGAAGACATTATGTCTTTGTCTCTGGTTCCTGGCAGAGAACCCCTACAACCCTAGGAATTTCCCGAGTCTTGGGAATGTTTTTTGTTCTAATGAGGCCACTCTCGGACAGGCACCTAAAGAGGCTTAGAATGGAAGCTGATCATCAGAAAGCTTTGACCAGAATCCTGAAACTTTTGGCACTATCTCCAGCCTCCTGGGCGGACAGAAGGGTTCCATGGAGATTGAACTACTCAGCACAGGCCACGGTCACACCTACATAAGGAAATGTGCATAAAAATCTCAAAAGATGGACAGGTGAGATGGCTCATGAGTAGAAGTCTGCTGGTCTGTGCCCACAGTGGAAGACTCACCTCCCCAGAGCCGACTACTGACCTCCACACGTGGTACATGTGCACCCATCTCCATACACTGCCTTAGTTACTTTTTGTTGCTCTGATAGAACACCATGACCAAAGCAACTTACAGAAGGAAGAGTTCCAGAGGGCTAAGAGTCCACGATGGCGGGAAGGCGTGCCTGCAAACAGCAGGCATGGCGGCAGGAGCAGGAAGCTGAGTCCTAACCTCTTCAACTGAATCAACTGCAAACTGGAAGTAATGCAAAGCCACAAACCCTCAAAGCCCGCCCCCACGGACGTACTTCCTGCAGCAAGGTTCCATCTCCTAAAGGTTCCATCACCTCCCAAAGAGCACCACCAACTGGGGACCAAGTGTTCAGATGCAGGGGCCTATGGGGACATTTCTCATACAAACTATCACACACACATACACATTAAACACTCACAATAATAATAAAATTTAAAAAGAAAACCCAAAGAGCTGAGTGTAGGGACCCAGGAGAATCATAAGTTTGAGGCTAACCTGGGCAACTTAACAAGATCCTATATCAATGAATAAATAAGTAGATTTGAGTGTGCGGCTCAGTGATAGCGTACTCGCCTAGCTTATGAGAGGCTGTGGGCTCAATCCCCGGTACCATTAAAATTTTTAAAAGACAAAGTACAGGGAGCTTCCCAGGGACAAACATCCATGTCTTGGGAGGGTAGCACACCCCAACATCACAGGACACAGGCTCTTGAATTTGGGACCCTTTCAGATTAGCCCTATCTTTTCACCTTGGCTGTTCATTTATCATTCTCTCTCTCTCTCTCTCTCTCTGTCTCTCTGTCTCTCTCTCTCTCTCTCTCTCCCCCTCCCTCTCTCTCCCCCCTCCCCCCCCC